GTACCCCAACCCAACATGGTAGACCTAAGGACGGAAACACACCCAGTGCAAACAAAGTTAAAAAGCTATTTTTTCAGTATATATGTTTCTTAGCAACAACTTCCGTATAACATGAAAAAGTGAAAAACTAGAAACTAATTTTTTTAATTTTTTGTGTTTAAATTTAAATGGTATGTGTACTTGCTTCACATTGTCTTTCTAAGTTGGCGTTCATGATTCAAGTATTTCAAGAGTGATATGTTCTCTTTTTGGATTCATATTCCAAACGAAAAAACTGAAGTTATATAAGGGAGGCAACTATGTGCTCAGACAGTCTGTCAATGACCCACCTTTTTTTCTCTCTCCGTTTTCTTTTTTCCTTTTATAAATGTATTTATTGCAAGTTGAAAAAAACGAAAAGGTCAAGTTAGTGCTGCTGCTGTTCCAAAAAAGGTCACGAGGTCAGAGTTGAAAGTTCTAAGTTCAGATTGAATCCGACCCTCCTCCCAGAAGGTCTCCAGGTAGTAAGGGAGCAGGGCTGCCCATTCTGTGTGGATCCTCTACGCTTGGGACCCCCCACAAGCTTGAAGAATAGTTTGGGGGCCCCCACAATGAAGCGCCAGTGAGATCACCCCCACTGCTGCTGCCGCCACCACTGCTCCACTGCCCAAGCCCTGTTGACCCACCAAAGAGATTCAAAGCAGGTCCAACTGGATCTGTCTGGTTCTGTCCTGTCTCCAGGGATTGCCAGCCTGCTGTGGGTGCACTTGGGGTTGCTGCAGGTGTAGGGGGCTGAGCTTGTGCCAGAAAGCGACTAACCTCTTCATCTGTGGCAAACTCAGCCAGGATGGTAGTGTTTCCCAACACACACCTAAAGACAAGAAACACAGAAGAAAAAAATTAATAATTAGAGCTGGAAGGTAAGGGCAAGGGATTCAGAAGGCATGGAAACAACACCATTAGGTGCCCAAACCAAAGGAAGCATCAGCTTGCCACAACCAAGTGAGCACAGAAAACTTCAGCTGTTCTTGACAGTGAAACTGACTCAAAGCACAAGAACTCCAACTTTGTAAGGGGGACTCCCCCCTCTTCAGTTGTTATACCTGCAACAAAACTTTTCTAAATTTAAACTAAGTTCCGGAACATTAACACCGAGAGCAATAAAAGCGCCTATATCGTGTAGCTAAAACGGTAAATGCACTTATGCTACCTTTCAAATAAACCAGAGGAAGAACAGGTTAAAAGCCTGTCGAAGTCAGAATTAGTATAGTTCAAAAGTTTTCACTGAGTTTAAGGGCTCACACCACCACCACACCCACACTCCCCCAAGATTTTTTCTCAAAACATCTCACATTTGAAACACACCAGAGCCAGTCAGTTCCAAAAAGCTTAAGAACAGGAAACCTAAGATCTGCAGCTTTTCAAGTAAGCTATTTTAGGTGTATCTCAAAACTATAGTAGATTCCCACACATTCCGGTTACGCATATGAGAATGGTTTTCATCTGAAACAATTCACAAGCTTTTATAAAATGGCCAAAATTGTACAGTAAGGTGCATACTTATCACAATTTCATCCTATTTGCACCTTCTTAGTTCTCCATGTGCCAATTTGTGCCAGCAATTAAAGTAACACAAACAGAAGGCATCTTCATTTCTCTTCTTCCTCTGCTGATGAATGAAAGGTTCCCTTCCAACCATGATACTTGAAATGAGTTCCCAAAGCATAGCACTGGACGTAAGTTTTGTGTTTATGACTAATATAGCAACAAATAACTTACATGTGCAGTGCAGTCTGGGCCTTGGCCGCCTCCTGTTTGGTGTTATATCGGATAAGGGCGGTGCCCTGGGTCAGGTTCAGATGGAATGTCAGCAGTGGGCCGTGCTGCATGCAGATCGTCCTCAAGGTTGACCCATCGATCTGAGGAAGAACAGCCAGGATAAAACAGACGTTTGTAACTATTTCTCCACATACTTCAATCCCAACTTCATCTCAGTAATTAAAAGATAAGCTGCTCTCAGAAAGGAAAACAGGTGAAAGCAGTGGGAAGTAAGTAATTTAATTTTCAAACAGAATCGGTATGCCTTGACTTCTCACAATTACAATGCCTTTGCTTTATGGAATAATCTGACTTATCTTTCCCACTCACTTGTAGCTCGAGTCCAGTTTTTCCCCATCTCATTGAGTTTCTTACATTGCCTGATCCTAAGGCAGGTTTTCCAGTAATTATATACAACTTGTACTTGTCACCATCTTCAGCCATCAGGATTTGTACCAAAGGAACCAGAATATCTTAGTCTCCAGCACTCCGATTTCAGTAGAATTTAGTTCAACCAGTATTTATAAGTTCTTTGCAAAACTGGAAGTATCACCTCTACAATGAGGTGTTCATAAAATTTCTTTTGGTGCTTTTTTGTGTTTGTGGTCTATGAAATAGTAACCCATAGAAACAGTCAATGATCTTCTGCCAAACCCAGCCATGTTCATTCCTCCTGAACTAATGTTTTCACAGCAGTTGTTGCATACATTCCTTCCGCAGCAGTAACAGCTTATTACTTACCTCCCATAACTGCTGTCCTCCAAGGTGTTCTGTACAGACAGATTCCATTCCTGCAGCACACATGAATGGGATCTGTATGTGCAGATACTTAAGAAAGTGCTACTTTCTTCCTTCTCCCTTTCCCTTCATTATATAATACAATCTCAAATGAGGGAAAAGGAAGTTGAGTGTGGGTACAAAATTGGACAAAGTTAAAACAGAGAAACTTGAAATGAAGATACTGCCCTGAATCCACCTTAACCTTTACAATTCCTTCTCTCTAGTGTACTGACCTGCAGTGAATAGAGGACTTATTATGGAAGAGACAACTATAATCTGCTTCTTTCTCTTTTCTATTAACTTAAATGCCCCCCAAATATATTCTTCCATTTAATGGTTCCTAAAGCAGTATTAAACTACTTTGCACAAGGGAGACTTAGAACTGTGCCTCTTCATCACACCACTGACGTTTCCCTCACATCAAGGAAAATGGTCTTTTCTATGAAAGGAGCACAGTTTGCCATTTTGGGTGATCTGAAGGAGAACTTCTTTCTTCCCTTCACATTGATGTTTTCTTAGACTGTAGAAGAAGAATGGTAAATCACCCTGCTGACCAGGGGACTCTCTGTCTAGACCTCAGGGCGCTACTGATAATCACACCAGCTTTTCCTAAGCCCTGAATACAGACTAACTGGGATTGCTGAAACCAGGATCTCCACAAAATTTGTTCTGAATGGAAGCAAGCTCTGAGAACACTTGCAGGAATAACCTAACTAGACTGTTTTTGGCAGGAGTGCTGGAAACATTCTGTGGTTTCACTATGGAAACACCAAAGCGAAAACTGGCAGTTACATCAGCTTTCTTATTGACAACATCCCAAAGAACAGTCTCTAACAGCTATGAACCATTCCACGTTATGGTCATGTAACTTATCCTCACTTCTAAGAAAAATCTTTCTGTTCCAGTAATTTTTTTGAAACTCTAGGTAATGAAAGTTTATGATGGTCACGTAGCAAAAACTGAACATCTTAAAGTTAGCTGAAGAGATTACAATAGAAAAAACAACCATACTGCATCCCAGTTTAGTAGAAACACATCTTATGTATGCTGACAAATCTGACTTTGTTAGATTTTATTCAAACAACTGAAGAATCCACAAATCTGTATCTCAGTAAAGCAAACAAGTTCCCAGAGACAACAGAAAATACCTGTGGAGTGAGATTGTGAAGAACCAGCCAGTAGCTAGGACGAACTGAGCCACCATCACTCCAAGTAGATGCTGCAGATTAAAAGACAGAGTAGTCAAGACAGATTTGATACAAAGAAAAACATTTTTCTTTACAGTCAGGTCTTTCAATCTCAGAGAAATTCAGCATTATCAGCCGTGCTAACATGTGAAAGCCTAATCTTCAGTCCTGAAAACAGAAAAACATCCTTCCTTACATTTCACATCAAAATTCACTTTTTATTAGCGTTTGTCTTCGAGGAGCTTCCCTGCCCACAGAAAGCATCTAGTCCTGAAAGGCCCCATGCACTAGGTATTCCCTCCTGGCAGCTCTCAGCCCTCTTCACTCATTCCCTGCAGTGGGACCTGGGATTCCACACACCACCCCAATTACTGGCAGCAAATTTCCATTTCAAGAAGGAACTTTCCCCCCGCCTTTTACCAGACAACTGCAACTTCCTTTCCTCCAAACCATTAGCGCTGTAAAACGTACACTCCTCAGGTCTGATCAATGGTGCTATCAGTTGATTCTTCTCACCAGAGGCAAGCCTTGAGTCCTGTGCCCCCCAGCCCCTGACCGATCGGGGTGCTGTGCTGTTCCATGGAGATGATGGTTTGGGGTTGGTCAGGCCAGGAGGTGGGCGGGGCAGCCCTGTAGTGTTCCTTGAGGAAATATGGTTTTTCCACATCTTGTTGGAGAGATGAGCGGGATTGTGTCCTATGGGATCTGGGGACCATGTTGATTTGTAATCACTGAATTTTGCTAGAAGATTAAATAAATTGTATGTATTAGAGAAACTTATGAGATTCAACCAGCCTTTAACTGTACTATCACTGTAAACCCTTTGACCGCATTTATATCAGAGATAAGCACAAAGCACAGAGCCATACAACAGTTAATTTATCATACCAAAAAAATCCAATGCTCATCTAAGTTAGTATTTATTTTTTTATATGCTGGAAAAAAAATCCCTAGATCATTTACGGTAATTTAACTGGTCACAGTATGTCCCATCTTTAATAAGACAAACAGCAAATTTTATGTATGCACCACATTTCATTTGAGAACCTCAGAATTTCTTACAAGTTCGGGCACCACTGACCTTCAACTGAAACAACCTTCTTCAGGCCAAAAACTTGCAGAGAACTGAAATGAATATTTACCACTCTTGGTCTACTAAGCTAACGCTACCTCCCTAAAGATGTTGTCCTCCTCTAAGATCAAAGCTTTTTCATGAACCAAAAATTTCATACAGAGCTGACACAACAGTAACACATAAAGAAGTCCATTTAGCTGTGTGACAGTTGGATTGTTCAACAATCTTGATAGCACATATTCTTTTTTTTTACTAGAAAGCATTGCCAAATGCCTATTAGAAGATAAGAGCAATAGTGGATATCCCTAACACATTTCAAGAATCCCTTATATATAAAGTCCAATAAAAAGGAAAAATTAACACACTTCCAAAAACATCACTATCGGTCATGAATATTTGGGAGCTCTTCCTAAAACAGTTTTCCTTAAGAAGGCAGACTGCAAATTTGCCCACACCTTCTGACAACAAGGGACATTTACTGCGCAGCAAAAAAACACAAAACAAAAGTCAAAATTGCTCAAGTAATTTTTTTTTTTTTTCCTTATTCTGTAATGAAAATCAGTGAACATAGACAGGGCAATCTGGGGAAAAAGGCATTTGTGTCATGAATTATCTTAGTCAGAACTCATGTGCATGTGTGTGCAAACACATGTATTAAGCTCTATTCACCAACAAAAGGTATTAAATTACTTATTTGAAACAAAGGGTAAAAATCCAGGTTTAAAATATGCCAGGGTGTCACAAAATAATGCATTTGTGAATCAAGACCATAAAGCTTTCAGCAAGTAAAAGCATGCTTCATTTTACAGGTGGACCACCGTATTGCCACAACAGAGTAACTGTCAATAGCAAGCAGGTTTCAAGCACTAGCCTATGGAAAGTATATGGAAGTGCTTAAAAGCCTGCGTTCACTAGACTCAGTTTCTTTTATAGATATGTGAATTCGAAATCCCCAATTCAGATGACCCACTTTCTGGCTGTAAAACACTGGTGTGTAGCTTAACAAGATGAGCAGAGGATGGTATGTGTACCAGGCAGTGGTCTAGTTTCCTCAATTCAACTATGATTTCAATAATTTTTTATCTCTTGGGTCTTTCTTGTGTGCTAGACAAAAATTAAGCAGAGGTAAGAAGCTGATACATGCCACTCCTTTCCCCAGGCTACGAAAGAGAAATATTCTATGTCACTGGAATGCTGCATACACAAATATTGCTTCAAACCAGCCACCCCACACACTGGCAGCAGGAACAGTGTTGTTCTTGAGAGCTAAATAGGATTTTCAACACATTTTGTGAAGGTGCTCAGATAGCATACAAACACAGCTTTTATTCAGTAAGATGTAAAAAATAGTGTTTGGGCCAGATGCAGCTCTCAGCTATGTTTGTCGCTTCTTATATTTACACACAATTCTTCAGTTTTAAGTAGCTGTCAAGACGATATCTCAAGAGAAAACTGGCATTTGTACGAAGTTCAAAATCCAAATGGTTTGTCTAGAGCAAGTATTTCCAGCATCCTACTCAGAAGTGTGTGCAGAAACTATTTTTCACAAGAAAACTTTGGAGACCTTCTTACTGAGGATCTGAGGCAGATATATAAATTACTGTTTACAGGACAACCTTTAAAAGCCAGAGGACTAAAAAGCCCCCTCTCACTCTCCAGGTTTCAGGGAACGATGAATGTTATAAAAGGTGAGGCAAAAATGTTCCCTCCACGGCACTCCAATATTCTAAAGTTAAAATGAATAAAATCACTCATCTTATTACTCTAATTCCTTAACTCGTACATATAGGAGCAGGTATATATAAAAAATGTCAGTCCCCCAACCTTTTACACGTCAGCAGATTGTGCATGTGTGTGGTGGGTTTTTTTTCCCCCCTTTTGCATCTGCTGCTCACTGCTACCCTATTCTTTAACTTGCATAACTAAGAATTTTGTATTGAGTGGGAGAAATGGCAAAGGATCTTAGTCTAGTTTTAAAAGCAACTACACCAGAGTATTTTATCATCAGGAAGAAAACTACTTGACCAGCCACTCAAATTTTGAGTTCCTCAGAAATTACTGAAAGACTTAATATTCAAAGTGAAACAAGAATGAGGAGCTAATGAACACATGGAAAATGCTTTGCCCAGGTATGTTTTGGAGCCCACATACCTGAAGTGCTATGAACGTTGGTGAAGGAATTGTCAGAGGCACTGTAGGGCCAGGCACCAGGTGAAGGCAGCGAGGTGTTGAGGGAAGAATTAGACCCTATCAAAGGGAAAAGGAGAGAGAAAGAGAAGAGTAGGCCAATCTCATAGTTTCTGTAATACTGTTAAACCTCAAGAGCGCCACAATTTGTACCAATGCCAAGCTTTCACATGATACACAGGCTTCCTTCTTAGTCAAATGCAATAGACTGTTACCCTGTCATGACAGGAACATCAGAGTATTCTCCAATATCAGAATGACTTAAGTAATCCCATACCAGTTGCTTGCTGTTTTACCTGTGGTGGTGTCCCGCAGAAGTTGGTGGTCAGTATCTACAATGGGAGATGTGGCCGTCCCCCCCAGCACACTTCCAGGGGTCACATAGGGGTCAGATTCAGGGTCAATGTTTTGTATACCTTTCCATGGCACTCCTGGTTGGAACTCTGAGGAGGAGGGAAAAAGGAATTAGATGCAAACAGGGAAATGCCATTTGCTGGAAGTAACTGTTAAAGCTATTTAGGAGGGTAAATAATTGTCTTCTACACTGTTCCTCAAAGAAAAAAACAAAACAGGTTTCTCTTAATTAAAATCTATTTCACATTTCTTCCCATGACACTATCTCTAGTGTCCAAATACACTACAAAAAAAGTGGTGCAAGTGCACATGGTATTCCTTTGACTGTTCCTGTTTTATTACATTCAGATGAGGCTTCAATAGTTTTACCCTTCCTTAATACATTATATGTATTTTTAAGATATGTAAGATTAGAGTATGTATTATAAGATTAGATACTGCACTCATACTTTGTGTGCGTGCAGAAGCCTTTCTCAAGGAAAAGCTACCTACCTTAAGAGGTTGTAAACACAACATTTAACACTTTATGCTGTAGGTACACACAGTTTATACATTATCTATCGATACTGAGGTAATGCTAAGGTGAAATGCCTTGGAGTAAGAGCAATGTATGCACTCATTGACTTCTTCATGCTTCACCATGAGATGAATATACTTATGCTTTAGTTTCCTTTCAACTATAGCTGCAGGCATGCCAAATTTTTAAGACAAAAGTATGAATTATATAAAGCATGAACATATAAAAACTCCAGTTACTGTAAGAAACATCAGTAACTTGGTTCCTTCTCTGAGTAGATGTTCAATGAATGAAGTGCTGTGGTCAATTTTGGAAGCAGTGATAAGAAAGTAGAACTGTCAAACACGAAAACAAGTGAAGAAGCTTCAGATACTATATGACAATTTGGGTGTGAAAAGAGTGCCAAGGTGGCAGATTCATCCCTTGCGGATACAAGTCCAATGGAGTCATACATTTATTCCCAACCTGAACTTTTGAAATAATTAATGTCAGAATATTTGAGTGTAATTAAAAATCCATGATTAAAAGTAGGATCCAGGATGTGTTCGCTGAAATGAAACCATGTAGAGTGAATCTGGCATGGAAGGGCTCATTTCAGTCACCTTTGTAATGAAGAAGCATAGCCAAGAATACAACTTTCATAGACACATACAGAAGAAAACATGATATTACTGGTCCAAACAATTGGCACAGCAAGGGCAGTATTAGATTGTGATAACACACTGGCAGGAGAATCTCACAGAAGACATAAGAAAGGCCCCGCTGGGCATTCTAGTCCAGTATTCTGCTAACAGTGGTAGGAGAGATACCATTTAGGGACAGAACGCAAACCTGGCCACTATCTGTAGGCTACTGCCCTCACACTCCCAGCACCCACAGTCCTTCTATCTAGGACTTTACAAATACCCTTTATCTGCTAGCACCTGCTTGGGAAGCTGTTTTGCAATCAGTTTATCCAATCACTGTTTCAACTGGCTAGTACCATCTGTCTCCAGAAGCTCTAAAAGCAACACATTCCAGAAGTTCATCACTCTCAGTGGTGGTGGTGGTAGGTGGGGGGAAGCTCTCATCTATTTTAAACTTATATCCTCTTAAGTCCAGCATTTGCACCATGGTTCTAGTGTTGCAGGATTTGCAGAATTACAATACCACATTTATCTTGGTCACTGCCTTCATGATTTTGTAAGCCTCAGTCACATCTCCAGGTCTTTAGTAACTCAACAAAATAATCTAGGATACCAGGTATCAACATTGCTAACAGTATGAGCAATCAGCACTGCATTAAGGAAGGAATCTGCTCAGCTACTGCCAAAATACTGCAATCCTCTGACAAACAGGAGCACCTTATGCTTAAAGAACAAGCAATGCAGCTCTTGGATCTAGTCAAAAGATTTCTGTTCTGAGATAAAGAATCCATGAACACAGGTTAGGACCTGGAAATTAGAACATGTTTAAAAAAAACAAAAATAGCGTAAGTCCAAGTCTTGCCTATGTAAAGATTTCTGAGAATTGGTGAGACTGAAAATTAAGTGCATAGTAAGCTCTCATCAAAAAGTTAAGGAATATTCAAACAAGGCTCCAAAGATCAGGCATATTGTATATAAACATATTTGCTCATCAACATAATCCTGGTTTGAAGAAGTGTTTTCCTTGAACTTCAGCATACTGACAAATTTCCAAACTATCCTTTGGGACTGACAGTTATTCTCATGCACATTTACCAGCTCTCCCTACAGACATGCTCTTTTATTTCCATATAGTACAGAAAACATGAAGTGCATTTCTCCACTGATATCTGAAAGGTCCTCCCAAGAAGATCAAACATAAAATTATTAGGAAAACCATGACAGACACATCCAGGCTGGTTTGCCTGGAATAAATGACTGAACTGCTCTTGAATGGGAAAATTACAGTCTAGTATTCCCTAGGTATGCAAGTCTGTGTGACATAACCAAAAGATACAGTTCTCACCAATGCAGCAAAACTTGCTCTCACCTCCAGCTGTGATATCAGTTTGATTGGGCACCACTTCATTTATCTTTGTGCTGAACAATACTGCTCTCTTGAACGGCAGAATTTCTGCAGCAGATGGCATTTAGGAGGAAAACGCGAAAGGTGTAGTCAGGGTGAATGCTGAGTGACCACTGTATTCATTCAAAGGAAAAATGCACCTATTTAAAGAGGTTTTCTCTTGTAACTCATTTTCTTTAACAATTATTTTCCAACACTAGGAAGAAAAATTGTATCTCCGTGCCAAAAACTGACAGTGGGACTCATCTACAAGCTTGCAGAGAGAAAAGACCTACAGCGTAAAATAATTTTTGGTCTGTATTTTTCATCAGGGGTGTTGATAAGGTGGATTATGATCTCACCTAAGTTTTCCTTCTCTAGGAAGCCAATAAACTAGAGAGGCTACGAGACAGCTCAAGTGGCTGACAGTTATGGAACAGTAACACCTGTCCCAATAGTCTATGGACCTCATAAGAGAGGGCTAGCAATACGGCAATAATTGCATAAAAGCCACATGCCAAACCCCACGATCTGCAATCACAGTCATCGGCTGCTCATTTGCACAAGAAATTAGGGATGGTACTGATCCCAGTGAAAGTGTATGTTCAGGATTTGTGAACTCCAGCTATCCTCTCACAGTGGTGAGGCAGTCAGCAACAGCAAAAATTTTACTTATCACCGAGAGTGGGACTGCAGGTATTGCTAAGGAAGCTCTATGATATCAGCGAGCAGTAAAGAGTAGCTATTCAACTTCTCACTTCTGTAACAGCCTTCTGGTTCCAAGAATCTTGACAGAGCCAGTGACTGTTCCAAAACCTGGAAACACAGCAGAGCTGATCCTCACATCCCTCTCCTAACATGCCCGGCAGTACTGTGTTTCTCAGTATTATGCAGGGGAACGGAGACTAAGGAAACAAGTTCAGCAACAATGAGTCTATGAGAGAGGTCCTAAAAAAACCAACCAACCACATTTTGGGGGTTGCTGGCATTATGAACACTAACTCCAGCTCAAGAAGCTTAGTGCTTAACCACCAGGCTGACAGAAAGGTAATGCAAATACCTCTACAGAGAGCAGTCAGTGCTGTGAAATGTTGCGGGCATGCAGACATTCTTGAAATAACGGATTCTTTAACTCTGTTAGCTCATCAGAAAACATTTTCTTGCCAGAGTTAGACACTGATAGGTTCCCACATAAAAAGCTTTACCTACTTTTTGTAGGTTTCCTGGAGTTGTATGTGTCACACAGATTCCTAGGCTTTCAATGCTACTGGTTTACCCAAGAGAAGTACCTGCACCTTTACTTTTTAGTGCTTGAGGGGATACACAGCAGAGGATTTGCAGCTAGGAGTGTTTTCCTGGAATGTAAGAGTCTTCCAGGCAGAGAAAAATCACCGCATCCACTACTTGCTGAACAGCCCTGGTGATTAATCCGGGCAACTTCACGGACACCACTCTGTGTTTAATGAATGATTTATATAGAAAATTATGTGCGTGTTCAAATACATATGTCTTTTTCCTAGATACTTGCGTTTTCCAGTGTAAAGATAAAATTCTGCCAGTGGAACTCTAGGAAGACTTAAAGAACATGCTACAGACTGTAACCCAAAAAGCAAGAAACCTCTACTCAAGCCACAAGACTGCTGAGCAGTTCTGAAACATAGCAACACTCTTCTATCCTTTACACGACATGAGCAAAGGTGAACTGCAACAGCATAGCACACACATTTTATACATATTGTACCAATACTGCTGGCAAAAGAAACCTTGTGGTCTGCAGTGAATCATGTTTGTAAACAATTCCCAGAAGAAAAGTTCATGCCACATAAAATACAAAAGGTCAAGACAAGAAAATCCTGTTCCCACCATCACAAAATACAAGCTTTCACATCTTTTGCTTTCTGATTCCATGCTATCAATCAGAATTTTTACACCCTGTGTCAGCCTAACACAACACAAATAAGGAATCAATACAAGAGGGGGGAGCTGGTATCGTGTATTCTATGAACAAGTGTTCTTATGAAAGTTTCCGTAAGTGTGAAGTCACCAAACTACAGAAGATAAGAGAGATCACCTAACAAATCCCAAACACTATTCAGGCAATTCAGCAGTTAGTTCATATTTAGCCCAGCAATCTTTTACAGGAAATTCAAAATTTATGTTCTAATTTAACATGGAAGAAATTTAGAAAAACGTGATGGACCAAGCAAGTATTTTCCTTACAGTGGTTATTTAAAAAGTATGATGAAGAAAGGTCCTAGCACATCTACTCTAAAGCTAGGACATAACCCCTGCCGTCATGTAATACCTGGAGGCCAGCTGGCGTTGCTGGATTTGCTTCCGATCTTGTTTGTTGGTGGAGATTTGGCAGGTAACCAACTATCACCAGCAGGGCCTGCATGGCTACCAAGTGGGTCGCCCTGAATTATGTCAAACTGGTTGTAGGGCGATCCTCCACGAGCCTTTCCAGGGGGCACTATTGCACCTGAAGCATTAAAAAGACACGTTTACACTCGGGAAAGGTTGGGATCTTTACGAGTACAGCATACTAAAACAAAAAAAAATATTTAAGATGCATACTGGTGAGGTAAGACATTCACTAACTTGAAGCAGAGTTTCATCTGAGCTATTTCAGGTCTGGCAAGATGATACTGCAAGGGCGTTCCCAAAATAGCCAGTCCCCTTCTCACCATTTTTGTGCATATTGGCATCTTGTGAAGCCACAGAGGGAAGCCCTTCCATCATAGTCCACTGCTTAAAGCGGGATTCTGTTCCAGCCTCTTACCCACCATGCCATAATCCATGCCACTTGAGCCAAAGCCTGTGAAACAAACAAACGAAATTCCATTGTCATTTGCTCTTTTTGGTTTAAGTATCTTCAAACAGGGAGTAATTATGATCATAAGAAAGGTTAAAAAAAAAAAAAAATCAACAGTAGCAAATTTAATGTTCAAGAGGTGACTTCCAAATAAGCTCGTTAGGTCAGTAATCCCATCAAGATACACTTTGTTATTAGGTTTGTCTTCTTCCCATGTAATGAAAAATAATGCAATTTGATCAAGAGTTGACAGTTGTTGTAACCTTCGCTCTGGTGCTTAGACATAAAGCACTCATTTCTGGACCCATACGTAACTGGCTAACATGGTAATGCAATGACCGTATTAACATGGTAACTATAGGCAATGCACCAAATCGCTTTCCACAGAGCACTTACCTGAACCGTATCCAGGTATTTGCCCTTTGGTCTGTAAATCTGAGAGACCCACATTCAAAGGATTGGGTACCATGCTGTCTAAATGTGGCTTAGGCCCAACAGGGTGGGATGGTGAATGCTTCATGCCAGGCTGCCTCTGCTGCTGCTGCTGGAGGGCACTCACCATACGAGCAATCTGCAATGAAAGAAAAAAATAGGGATTATGTATCCTATACTGTAACACGGAATTCCAGTAAACATGAACAGTGACTTGAAAGAGATGCAAAGAACCTTGCTCTCTGAAAAGTACAATATGAAGAGAGCACAAACTGAAGAGAACAGATGACATTACTAAAACCAGCACTGTCTTTGCTGCAGACTGCATTTTCCCAGCGCACTTTATACTTCATATGATTGACAAAAACAGTGCCAAACCTGTTGCTCCTGTTGTTGTCGCACAGCTTGAGATAACTTCCTCTGGCTCTGTAACAGTTGCTGTTGCTGCTGCTGCTGAAGGAGGAGCTGACACGCCTACAAGATAAGTGGGGGTGGGAGGAGTGAAAATACAGAGCTCATCAGGTGAAATAACTGCCAGGAGCTAGTCACTAGCAAATGCTTTGCTCAGAACTTAGGTGTTCTTTGAGCGTTTTTCATTCCACACACTCAAATAAAATGACAATGAATGCATTAGAAGAATACTATATCCTTCACTTGTTTCTAATTTAACATCATGCAACAATATTACTAGTACCTGCTTTATTAACATCACTATGACTACAAGTCTGAAGAAAAAGTTCACTAAAAATCAACGAACAACTGCTTTCTGTACAAAGCCATTGCTTAGAATCGTTACTAACTCACTGCAACATTCACAATAACTACACAGGCCTGTTTAGTTTATCTGCTGCCCTCTAAGAGGGTTGTATTTTCCTGTACAAATGGGGAATACTTGTACAAAAATAACGCAAGATCAGTAGAACAAAACAGAATTAGAACAGACATAAAAAGAAAACTCTTTCAGCACACAGTTTGTAAACAGTCTGTCTCACAAGATTACTAGCTACTTACTAATTGAAACTGGGGAATCTGTGGAAGCTGGCTCAGCATGGCAATCTGTTGTGGAGAAAGCTGGGGGCCCATATTGAAGAGACCAGGATTCAAGCCACTATTGGGAAACTGTTTGAGCATGGAGGCTGAAACCTGCATAGAAACCAGTTACATATCCTCAAGAAATGCACTGCTATAAGAAAAGATGTTAGAGTAGAACTATTTGTATGAAGGAATAGGTACAACACCAACCTTAACTGGTGTTCTGGGAAAGACATTACAGATTTATTAACACATCACATTTAAACATGCACAATCTATGACTTGAGCAGAGTGAATACCTCACTTGATTGACAATATACAGTATAACATGTGCAGATGCAGACACACACACAAAGGTTCCCCCCCCAACCAACTGGTTGCTAGAGACTACACTAAATTAAAATGCTGATATATATGCAGCTAACCAGTAATCACAGTACTGCATTATTACATTAAAAACGTACTGCTTGACAAGGGAAAAGAAAGGCATTCAGGCAGTCATTGGAGCAAGGAAACAGTGCCTCACAGAAAGAGTTAATCTCTTTGTATGCTGAATAAGCTATAGTAAAAGACAGGAGTAGGTGGAGAAGAATCCCCCCATTTCTCCCTGCATTATTTGAGTGTTACACAAGTAGAATTCAAGAGAATCCCTGAAAGTCTTCAAGTCCAAAGCAAAAGGTAAACTTGTGCATTTGGAGACCCTGAGGTCTTAAAGCTCTGCAATGTAAATGCAACGTGTAGCCCTTCATCAGGCCTCTCTTTCAGGGGGGCAGGAAGCACAGGACAAGACTACTTGAAAAAAATCAAGCAACCTGTCACACTTCAGAAAAACTCCCAGCTTTCATTTGTTTTTGTTGTTTTTAAAATACTTTGCAAAAGCCTATGTAAGACAGGATTCCTGAAACTACTTTGAGGTTTAAAAATACTGGTAGCAAGCATTTACTATCAACTGCCTTGGAATAAGAAAGAAGGCCAATCCTGCCACACTAAGTTTTAAGCACTTGCAACTATGAAATTTTTTATCTTATCTAAGTTTTTGATTTCTTAACATCAAGTCAAGACTAAGACAGATGTATAAGTAACCTCAATGATGTGCTCTGAAGGCTGTAGCTCTACTTTTTACAAGTAACCAGTTACTATAAATTCCTTACCTGGGGAGAAAGAAATTGGGGAGGCACTTGCGCCCGGATATTGGGGGAAGGATTTAGTGGCTGCACTGGTGTGTGCATGCCCCTCGATTGTGCTGTGCTGTTTCCAAACAAACCATGATTGCCACCCTATAAAATTAAAGCAGTAGTGAGAAGACGAATCTTTCAGGATAATGGATTTCTATGCTATTAACTACGTATTGACAACACTGAGGTAAGTACTGACTTAAACAGAGTACCCTTAGAATCACTAAGATGTTTCCCCTAAATCACTAATATTCTACCTGGGTTACAACTGCTGTACTACATTTTTGAGATGCAGGCTCACTCTCCTCTATATTGAAGAGTCATGTTTATCCACTTACTTCAAAGCACATGACAAAGCTAATGTTTTATACTCTGCACCTTACATGTTGGGAAATGGAAGCTTGGAGTACAAACAACACGCTCAAAAACCCACGTTCCAATGACTTAAAATTATGGCAAAACTTGTGTCAGCAAGAATTTTGGGCCATCATTTTAGCTGATTCGGGTACTTTTTCTGAGTAGGTTGTTGAGATATCACACATAAGCCTATTACTTCCTCTGTAAACCTTTCACTAACTGAGATGAGAATTAAAAAATTTTATTAAAATGTCTCCTTCTGATGTGAAAACTTCAGCACTCTGGATTGAGATTACTTTTTTTTTTTCTTCCACTAAATTGAAGAGCAGGAAAATTTTCAAATGAGAAAAAACGTTTAGGTTTTTCTTTTTTCCTACCAGTGATTTATTTTCTAAAGCAAGAATACTTGCTGGTTCTTTGAGGGTTTCTTTAATGAGAAGTATTTACTGTTTTATAAGCAACTTCTGTAATAATAAACCCTACTGCACAAAATAAACCAAAGAGAATTTGTGATTACGTTTCACTGTTTCAGTCTCTGAGCAGACTTGTCTTTATTTGAAACATCTTTCAACAAAAGCCACAGGAAATGTTATGGACAGTCTCCTACACTAACAGTTGCATGCTGTTACTTCTAAAAGCTGAAGCTCATACTCCAAAAAGGTCCTTATATGCCATGATTCTGTCCTTTCATTTTCAAGACCCTCAGAACTTCCCATCTTTTGCTGTATATCAGGATGTCTATGATCCTCAGATTCCTGGGGTTCTAAACAGTACATTTTCCACACCTCAGTCATGATTCTCTGTTCTCCCTCTCCATGCCAGCACTGCTGTACCCAACACAAATTCACTGTTCTTCCAAACCGGGATTGTGCAGGCCTTTTCCAAAACCTTTCCTTCACTTATACACACCCAGATTTCAAAAACTTTGCCTCCCTTTTACCACAGTACTGTGCATCTTCCACTATCCTTTTGCTAAAACAAAAGTGTCTCATCCTGCATCTACACTGGCAGCATTATGGATTGCCTCATTCACCTACATCACTTTTCACCTCCTTAATGTATCTTCTCTTTCAGAAGCAACTCAAGATGTCATATTAAGCATGTAAGAGGATAAAAAAAAAAAACCCCAAGAAACAAAAGAGGTTTTATTCTGGAAAGAACTGACTGGGATCAACTACACATTAAGATTTTTGAGAGGCCTGAAGCTGCAGCTACACTTTCACCTCTCCCTAAAGCTCAGAGTTCTGCACACCAAATCCAAGAACATGCCTGCAAATTTTGGACTTAATCTGATGTTCAACACCGATTGTGTCACACAGAAAGACAACACAAGGATACACCATCATGTTAGGCATGTGACTATATAAGCTAATCCAGTTGCAATACTTAGGTTCTATTCTATCATTTCCTAGTATTCCTGCAACATTTTGTTCCCGCATAATACAAAACGTAATAGCTAGAAATTCTTCCAAACTGCAGTTACCCACTTCATTTCTTCCCCATCATTCCCCAGTACACAGAACAAAAATATTGCTACTTCAAGAGTTTTTAAAGGCTGCTAAATCAATCCTTCCTTTGGGCTGTGGGGAAGGGAGAAGGGAACGGGCACAATGCAAAATGATTGCAATTTTTTAAAGGCACATTTCTACATACAAGGTCATTGGGTGGAGTCTGGGAAAATTCAGTGTCGGGGTGGTGGGGCAAATCAACAGCCTCTAACTGGGTTTTGAAACAGCAGTTAAAATACAAAGGTTGCCACTAACTTCATGACTTCTGAAAAGCACATCTATCTGCTGCTACACTGTGATTCAGGAAGTAAGAGGCCAACAAAACCAGATGGAATACATTTTGATGATAGGAACCAATGTGGATTGATTCTCAATGTGCTGATATAGCTGAAATTTCCACTAACAATAGTAATGTATTTAGTAGGAAAACAAATGCAAGCAACCAACTAACCAGGATTAAGCCCAGGTTGCAGCCTTATAACAATGCATTTTATAAGGTGGCCTGCTTACTTGTCTAGCAGCGAAGTTTTGGGGACTGAGCCCTGAGCCGATTGCCCCAAGGCCGACGTTGGATAGTGTGGAACCAGAGGGAGACAGCTTGTAGCTGGGAGAAGGGGAGAAGGGAGAGCAGGGAGCCTCATCCCCAAGGCACCCATCTTGATTGGAGAAAGGCAATGTCAGCTGAAGCAGCAGTTAGCCAACAGCAGGAGTTGGTTAGTGAAGCAACAGAACGCAAGAGGAGAGAAAGAGGGACAGTGAGTGACTAGGAAGAAGCAAAGTTAATTTGTAATAGCAATTACAAGGACAAAACTTCTGACTCAAATGATCACTTGACAATTAAGATTTTGGTCCAAGGAGATAATCAATAAATTCCTAAAGGTTTCTTTTTAAAAATACATTTTGAATTCTCATGAAGTTTGTTTCTGACAGTGGCTATTACCATTACAGAAACAAACAAATCTTGAATTAATTCCTAGTGTTAGCACACACCTATGAACATAATTTGTTAGGAATGCATTAGCTCTGCTAGTGGTAGGTATTAATTAGGCCACTAGAGGGAGTTGACAAAACTGGTTTTTGGTCTGTTATACCAAAATGGAGGAGTTAAAAAATTCCTTGACAATAACATGCCAAATTTCTTTTCCATTTTACGAACTGTATTAAAAAAACCCTAAAGCATTCTGAATCTACTGGACACTCTCCAATTCATAATGTGAAGCAATTAATATTTGATAGTAACAGTGAAAGCTTCTATTTAAAATAGGCAAGAGTATGAAAGAAACACTACCATAACATACAACAGATGTCACAGAGAAACAGATGTCATACAGAAGCTTACAGTACACGGACATACAGCATAAGGGGTTGTGGAATTTAGAAAGGGTGTTTCCAATAAACAACAGACATGAAAGCAGAAAATATTTGGAAGACTGTGATTACTTATGTTTACTTAGATCTAAATCAATTTTTTACAGTAGATGATTGTAGTCCATAGCCAAAAGAATCATTGTGATGAAACCTATAATGAATTTCATTGCTACTAGTAGTTTACCCTTCTATGAAAAACAAAGGAATTTCTTTCTGTCCATATTAAGAGCACTCTGTTCTAAAAAAAGCCTCATTCTCCCCAGATAATTTAGCTTGTCTATCCACATCTGACACCTCTGTTTTCTATACACGTTATTCTACAAATCTAACTCACCCACACCTTTTATTACTGAGTTTGTTCAAGGTTACTGAATTTTCAGCAGTTCCAGAGGAGTAGGGTAAAAACTGGGACCTCAAATATGCAGGTTGATATTAATTTATCTGAAGATATTTCTCTCACCTTCTCAAAATAAGGCCCACTATCTGTGGTTCCCATGTCTTTGGAATTAGGTGGACGGAACCCAGATCGATCCTTTCTCATCATATCATTAAAATCCCCGAGATTCATGGCTCGTTTATCTACCTCAAACTTCTTATCCGGGAGACCACCTGTAAAAAAGGGGAAAGAAGGCGAAATCAGTGCCAATAATCTCTACCACGTTTCATGACAGCAGGTTCACAGCCAAAGAAAGTATCTTTAAGATCAGGGTATAAATTAGATCTGTCTTAGAATTTAGCATGGCTACAGTTGCTATTAAAGATGCTGAAAAATTAAAGTAGGAAGTTTCATTTTTAAGCCTGAAAAAGCCAATTTATTTTAGAGGGTTTAATGGGAAGTATGTCTCACAACTTATGTACAGATACAAACATATGCATTCCTACAGCAGCCCAGTTCAACTAATTATATTCACTTATATATAATTCTCAATATCTTCCAAAACCCGCACTGTTATTTATTGGTATTCAGTATCTATAGACACACCACTATTTAAGTTCTTTGTATATTCTACTTAGCCTTTACTGGGTTTGGCATTGAGAAATAGTTTCTCAAACTGCAAAACCACACACATAATTTGATCACAACTCTCCTACAGTCATGTGAACTTAACTCTTGAACACCACAGATCATCTGGTACAGTCTGACTTCCAGACAGGCAACCAGTCTCCCTCACCCTGTATGAAATGACTACACAACCAGTAACAGAGACACTTTTCAAACGTCCCCTACAGTCTCCTGCCATTGCTTAGTGAATAATCTGGTGGAACACGAGGAAGAGAGATTAATAACAGAGGATCAAACTGTAACATACACAGTGAACAAGACATCATCTTTCTCTATAAGCTTATCATTAGCCAAGTGCTGACTGAAGTTTTCTACCTTACAAACTGAACTGCTGCCAAGGAACAATTTTTCTGGGTCATATTTGGCACCTATAAGGTATCAGATGCATATTATTATGTTGAAGTAGATGGAAAACATCTTTGTTTTAAAATATGGACAACAAGATAGAGATGAGCTTTACTGGTTTTTTTTAGTTTTAAATAATTTTGTTTAGTAGCACAGGTGGCCTTTCCACCAAGATTTTAAAAAAACCTGTCATCACAGTTAACCAAAATCTATGACTCTTCCAAAGGAAGTTGGTGATAGATGTCCTACCCTACCACTGACAAAACACTAAGTCTTTATCAAACAGAGCAGACAGCCAATCACACTGATACCCTCAAAACACTTACCTGTTCCTTTAAAAAGCTTCTCAAAGCCAACGTCTCTTCTTAATGTCCTATCGCAAACTATTAATATTCCTAAGTATGTTATTGCCAAGAACCTATGAAATCAACCACTAATTACATGGGGTTTTCTTGCTGGCACGGCTTTCAAAGTTGATCCAGCTTCATCCTCTCAGATGACTTCGTCATTTATCACAAAAACACTTAACCAATCACTTACATATCTTGGCTGGTAACTGAAGTCATACTGACCTGGATGAGCTCATCCCTTTCTAACACATCCTAAAAAGCTCGAACTGGCTCTGCAAAAGCAGTCACAAAATGTCACGTACATCTCAATCTTGTCAATACCTACATCTAACCACTACACGCAATGCCAGCAATGCACTACCAAAAGGCTTGTGTGCTTTAATTCTAGACAGGAAGCCCTGGCCGTTAGTTGCTTGAAAAAAAACTGAAAGAGAGAGAGAGTTGCATCACTATCTGAAATGAACCTGGGTCAATGCCAACACAAGATGATTAAGCCGCAGAAACACCCTTTTGTCTCTTCAGTTATCCTGATGATCCAATCAACTCCTCAAACATTATGGAATGATGCCTTGTAAAACAGCCTGTCAAGTAACATGCAGAGCATTAAATAGCACCTTTAAAGGCTCCAAGCATAGATAGGCATGCCACTTAGTGCTGAGGCTGCTGCTTAAACTTCAATATAAACAAGGCCTTGCTAAGAGAGATGATACCATTCATTTATCCCATTCATCGAAAATTCTAACGCAACCTTGAAACCTGTCGTGTGAGTCTGTTTTTTGCACTTACCAAAAGCTATAAATAATGCAGGTGGCTGAAGACTACCTTTACCTTACATAGTACAAGACAACCATTAAAATCTGAGAAGTTTGAATTTTACTCTCTGTAGTAGGCAAGAACGCTTGTGCACAAATAAATACAAAGACCCCAATCCTCTATATACAGAAACGTAAAATAGGTTAAAAGTCCAACCATCTTCATAAAATACGACACTCCCATCAGTTCTTGAATTTTTCCCACTACTAACAGCTGGGAGAAACACTGCGAAAAATACAAAATGAATCAAGAACTTGGAAGATGACATTCACACTCTAGGGAGGAAAAAAACCCTATTAAGTAGATCTCCCCCACCACATCAAGACTAAGTATGCGACCTTTCTGCACCACTTCACAGGCTATCCTTAGCATCAGTTACCTTCCCTCAGAAAGTCTGACAGCCTTAAGGGCCTTGAGAGCTGAAAGGTCTAATGGATCCAAAAGCTTAATTTGGAGATACAGAACTAAGAGAACTATAATCAGCACAATCCAGGCTACCATCCTCTTCATCTGTATATTCCTAGATCTGTTCTTTAATAGCAGCATCTGAAGGCAGATGAGAGCCAAACATCCAAGATGATGACTTATCTCCATCTAGAAGATCTTTAGAGAAACATGATCCAATCAGAGCCCCAATTCTAGAGAGGCTGTATGAGGCCAAAGTTGAGAGATCCAAAAATTCTATTACCTTCCCCAAAACTGTGTTGTACTACACAAATGCACACTTTAACATCTCTTACTGGGTCCCCTAACTATTCAGAGGAAGAAAGCAAGTTTGGAAGAAATGAACTTCTACTTAATCCTCTATGAAGTGTGATACACATTTTAAGAATGTAATGGATTCTAAGCTGAGAGACACTGCAGCCATTGGAATTGCATTAGAATACCAAATCTGGAGTGGATATTAGATGTAAGTCTTGACTACCACAACTCTGCCTTTGGTACCAACAAAGATTAATGGATATTCCCAATAAAAGAGTTTTTTTGGTTGAGAAAATCCCAACTACAGCATCACACATGATGCTACAACAGTGACCAATGAGGAAGTACTAAAGCTGGTGACAGCACTGGTGCAAAGAGGGTCAAGATCAGAACAGACATCTTGCAAGGCATAATACTGAAATTATTTGGTCAACTATACTAGAAAGGCACGGAAGAGGTATGGCAGAATCAGAATGGCACAGAGATTGCAATTATAGCACAATGGCCAGTTTCACAAGAACTGCCTCCTGTAGTCCCTAAAATCTACCATCCCAATCAAGAATGAGTATTTACACTGCTTGCATTTGCATGGCTTGAACCTGTGCTATCTAGTTTTCCACTGCTACCAGAAGCCCCCATAGTATAGATTCAATTTCACTCATATGGTCATTGTATCACTAGGACAGAACACACTTTAGAGGAAAGCAGCATCTTCTCCTGGATTACTTTCTGGGATGGGGGCAACACATCAGACTAGTCAACTGTCTTGACATCTGTAAAAACATAAAACTGAAGGTGGTATTTATCCAAGAGTTAACAAACAGCTCTTGCTACTATTTCCTTCCCTACTGTCACTGTTAGATGTTTAGATAAAATAAATAAAAAAAAAAAATCAGGCAATGAAACAACCCAAAAGTTGCCACAAAGACAGGATCCAATGCAGCAAACTGTAGATGTATACGATGCTAGAAAATGAGATTACTTAATGCTTAGTACACAGTCAGTCATAGGCCTGAATACGCCAAGTTCTTTGGCAGGTAATACCTCAGAAGTAAATAGTTTCTATCCTTGATGTTGGATACAGCCAACTTGTATCACAGATCCCACACTATTTTAAGTTAGAGCAATGAATTTCAGAACAGATTTTGAAACTGTACTTGACTTGCAAACACCAATTTATTTCATCCAGAAACCTCACAGACTGTGACCTGACAAAGAACTACTTTTGCAGGCGGTTCTTCAGAGATACCACCACAGGATCATCAGTAATTAATTCAACTGACAGGGAATACAGAAGTCTCCCAGAGCAAATTTAGAACCACCAGCAGAATAAGCATTGATTGCAGTCAGTCACCTCTTCCTGCCAGCCCTCCCTTCGTAGCAAGCCCTTTGTATCCTTTCAGCAGCACGCTGCGCCTGTGTGCCTCCATGGTTCAGCTGAGGTAGAAGCCTTTGCTTTTACGCAGAAATAGCTGGAAACAAGCAGTTTGGTACTGGGACATTTTTAAACATGAAACAGGTAAAACAGTTACTGTGTAACTGTCATACTGTGGGTCTCTGTGCTAATCACCAGTCAGAACCAATGGTGTCCACACCTTCATAACAAACTTGATTTGCACTGATACAGGGACCCCCTTCCAGACACAGAACCACTACACACATGCTCCTCTGGAGCCCAAAGGCGTACCTCATTTACACAGGAAATTCTCTGTTCTAGACGAGAGCTGAGACTACTACTACTTTGACGTATCACCCTTTGGAACAAGAATTCTAGACCTCTGGCTTTTGATATTGTAACTGGGAGGAACCTGAGGCCTCTGTGACATTCCTGAGAGTTATAGAAATAGGATGAACAGCTGCTCCAAACTTATTGTTGGACTTGTAAAGCAGCAGTGTCCTTTAAGTGGACTAGGAGATATCTTTGTAGCCAGGGATATGAGGTGATCTTCCTGCTTCCGTAGATTTCGAAGAATCAAAAGCTCAACAGAAGTAGTCCCTAGAACAGGAAACGAACCTCTTCCCATTTATAAGTACCAATGACTATCCTGTGCAAATTTTTAATCTTATTGAGTCTTCAAAGACTTGATAACAAATAAACAATCGGAACAGCAGATTTGGAACATCCCTTTTTTAATACATACCTTAGTAATCTTGTAGAGAAGCCATCTCAAATTGCAGATTTCAGAAACCTGTGGTATTTCTATTGCAATACCATGACAGTGAATAGTCAATTTGGAAAAGAACGGAATGCAAAACTAAATCTGATTTCAAGATCAAAAAAGATTTCTGTGAGAGTTTACTACTTAGTTTGCAAAGAAGAAAGTCATGACAAATTCAAAGGTGATTAAATGGGATTAATCCAAGTGGCCAATTCCAACTTTCATATAGGACAGTGTTTTCCACACAGCCCGTCCTACTTAAGCTGTGTAGTACCTATGGTGAAGCCATCAAGAGTGAAAAAATCTAGCTCTACTGAGCAGTAACTTGTAATAGCCTAAGGCAAGCAATTGAAGAAATCAGCAACAGAAGATATTCTTTTCCCTTACATCACCTCCAGGGAGCTGTGGTAGTTAGGATGTCCTACTTCCAAGAGCTAAAACAGTCCTCCTCTTCCACCAAATGAAAAGGGACCTTCACGTTCTTGAAACAGCAACAATGCCTACTTAATCTGTGTATACCTATGGTGAAGCCATCAAGAGTGAAAAATCTAGCTCTACTGAGCAGTAACTTGTAATAGCCTAAGGCAAGCAATTGAAGAAATCAGCAACAGAAGATATTCTTTTCCCTCACATCACCTCCAGGGAGCTGTGGTAGTTAGGATGTCCTACTTCCAAGAGCTAAAACAGTCCTCCTCTTCCACCAAATGAAAAGGGACCTTCACGTTCTTGAAACAGCAACAATGAATACAAATTACGTGGATCAAACCAGTCTTTTAGGATGTCCCTTCCATAAGTTATAGCTCCGTTCTCTACAGGTATACATTCAAATCTTGCATATCATCATCAGCTGTGTAACTGTTCAAAGCCTACAGCCAAGCTATTGGATGCTATAACTCTATCCTTCTATTGTGAGGAGGGCTAAAAGTAAGATCAAACCTTTCCAAAGCACAGCATGTCATCCACATAAAAATACTACATGTATTCTCATATTAAAAATGCATTTAAGTTAAATTATACATACCTACAGACAAGTCCATCTTACTACCTGGAATGTCCTCAGTTTGACTCTGGGGGGGGGAAAAAAGAAAAATTCAGTTCCAATTTCCATGAAACGCTGAGGAATGTTTCAGCAAACAGCTCTCGATGGTTAAAGGTGGAATGAAGAAAGGACATGCTTGTGCCAATGGAAGTTTTATTTTAAACTAAAAACTAATACAAGGATTCCCGACATCACCCTGGACACACCTCACCTCGACCTCCTAATGCTATGACAAGTTTACCCGTATGAAACCAGACACGTGAACGCATGCGACAGAAAAAGATAGATAGACAGCTGCTCTGTGAAATCAACCTTTGTCCTCATGTTCCAGTGGTCCAGAGATGAAACACTGAAAATAGTGACCAAAATGATAGCTCATCCTCATGACCCATCAAGTCATCAAATCTTGAAATGTGCTGCCAAGTTATTCTTTAGTTGGCAGACTGGGACAGGGTGTTCCCATAGCTTTCAGAAGCATCTACAGTCTAGCAGACTAAATTTGAGCTTGGGAGCCAACAGACATTACAAACTAATCCTAGTCCTGTCAGTGACAGTTTGTGCAGTCTGGGCTTCTAACAGAACCTCTGCATTATTATCTTTTGCTAGCCTGCATTACATACTATTCCTGCTTCACAGGATGACAACTGGCACAATATTCTGTAAAATGTTTTACAACCTAGCATGTCAGAAGTTCTTAAAAAAATTTTATATGTAACTATTTTAAGGTATTTCCCTGCAGATCTGTCTTTCCTTTCCATGATGGCCATTTATTTATTCACTTTACCAATCAATCTTTTACGTACTGATTAATAATGAGTCCTTTTTGTATTAAAAAGATGCTGCTGCACAGTATTTAAAATATAAATAGCCAAGACAGACACAGGGCTGTAAAACCTCCTTTTCTGATATGCGGCTGAGATTCAGAATGAACAGCCTTGGACTAATCTCAAATGTCTGACACTACAGCCGGGAGCTGAGGCCTCTACCTTCAGTGCTCTGAACAGCACATAATAATAATAATCATAATACCATCATGACACAAAAAACCCAAATCCTATTACTTGCAAGGAAACCGCAATCTCGGAACAACAGTTGTCGTGATGGAACTTTGAAGAGCTGAAGTAGATATTGTGTTTTTCTGAGATGTCATTCTGACTAGCAAGGAAGTGGTGAATACCCAGCTATTACAGGTATTATAATCAACATGCCATGATAGCAAATGCAGATAAATAAGTAGTTACACACTGTAAAACAGCTGATCTTTTGACTTGTTTAAAGCTTACTGCTTTTTTACAAAGTTGGATTTTATATTTTAAAAAAATGTACTTACTAGCAAGCCCATATTTGAAAACTGTTTGGATAAAGGGTTCATCCACGAATCATTATTTCCTCCTTTTAATGAGCACTGAAGAGAAAAAAATAATATTTTTAAGCGATTTCTTAAATCCCGTTTTATCCTTCAGATGCACAAGTGTCGAATGAAAATCCTGGTATCAGAGAAATTAATCTCCTGAACAAATTAAGTTTTTGTGTGGTTGGAAACATTTACCAAATACTTTTTTCTTTTCTCTCTCATAAAATTCTTCATTGTTAGGTATACCAAACTGGATGAACACGTGCTCTGTAGAATGTTTATCACACCTTCAGTTTCATTCTGGAATATGGAAAATTTTGTGAATGTTATTTATTTATTTTTTTCCCCTCTGTTACAGTTTAATACATTCTTTAATCCACAACATACAGAGGTAGATTTCTTCCTTGGTTTTCTTCCCTTTAGTGTGGTTTCTCTTACATGGGCACCGTGCTGACCTGGCTTTCAATTTGGCCTTACTATAATTTACAGGTGATCAAAACCAAAACTGAACACAGTTCAACAGAAAAGATACTGGTAAGAAAATTTTTTGGACAGTTGCTTTGGTGGTTAAAATAGAAATCTTTAAGCAAGCAAAAAGTTCATGACAATCATTTTTGCAACACAGGAATTGTAAAACTCCATACCATGTCACACAACAGTATTTCCACATCCTAAGAAGCTGCTCTGTGCTTGCCTTAACTATGTGATTAGAAGTAGACAAAGCATAGTCCTTCTGATATTAATACAGCATCAAGTGCAACTGTACTAGAAACCTTTAGCAGAAACAAGCCTTAGAAAGCAATTCACTTGGGACTATAGCCAAGCTCCCACTCCTGTTTAAGGCCAAAGGTCAACAACAACAAACACAAGTCAGACTTCAATCCAATAGTCAGTAGAAATAAGTGTATGTGCCAAAGGTACTGTGGAATCTGAACTTCAGCAGGCTATGCAAGGAGAACAGCAGTGGCCTACCACAGAAAGATGTGTCAGCAAGAGAAGAGCAATAGCCTTGGGATACTGATTGCTCAGTTTCATTTAGTAATGGCTCTGCAGCTTACATACCAAAAGAATTTGACACCTACTGGCAGATTTATTAGTCACAACAGGTGTAATACATTAAAACAAATCCAGAAACCTCACTTTTTTTTTTTACACTGTTGTAACAGCCACCTTTCTAGATGAATTCTGCAATACGTTTTTAAAAGAAGAACTATTGTAATACTCTAACAAATCAGTCATACTGCTTTCAGACAACACAGTAGTTATGAATCATTCAAGCATTTTACCTTCATTTGTGTTTTCTTTCCTCCTTGCCCCCAGCTTGTCGAGTTGTGGGAGGAACTGCTTCCCTGAGAGCCTGCTGTGTTCCAGACTCCTCCCTCCTCCTCCTCTTCCCAGCTGGAATGACGAGTTCCTGTCACTGGCCCATCACTCTCTCCCCAGCCATCTTGCATAGATTTAGAACCTTTAGAAAAAGAAACAAAGCTCAAAAGCAGTCTACAATACCATGCAGCTGGTGATTTGACACTGCAAGATTAGCAGAGATCATCAGAACCACAAAGGAAGAAAAAAAAAAAAAAAAGGAACTGTCTTCACCGTAACAGCTGTGAAAACTTGTGCATGAATCCCAAAACTGAGGAGATGCAGTGGCATGTTAGTGTGTCATGTTTTTCAACTATTTTAAAGCAATGTCAAACCTTTAAAGATATAATAACCATATAGGGACCTCTTCTCTTATACAGATACAGCTGCATTTGGATTTCTTTAAAAGGCAACCTATTGTTTTCCAGTGTAAATGAAAGACTTCAGGAACACTTAAAAACCAAGGGTGCTGAGGACTCTGGTTCAGGTGGTTTATCAATTATTTCCTCTCCTGCTTCAAAACCTTAATGCTTCCCTTGTACTAAACTCCTTTACAAAATTACAGAAAAAAACCTGTAAGGATTAACAACTAAGAGGACTTGACATTGTACTCTGGTATATGTAAAACAAAGCAGTTTGATGTGAAAAAGACCCTTCTTAAATTTCTGTTCTTAATAATGTCACCAAAAAGACTTATTAGCAGTGCTGTTTAAGTAGATGCCATTACCAGAAAGCCACAACCATTTCATCGTATCAATTCAGCCGAAGGACTTTTCCCTGTTGGCTTCTTTTCTTGTTGTTACTCTCTAGCACCAGCTGTCAGACACTTTAAAATTCTAACCTCTACTGACAAGCCACAGGAGCCCAAATCCCCATCTTGTGCACTGTCCAACTGTTCTCCTTCCTGCTCTAACTCTTCATCCTGCATATTTCTTCCCCAAGCATTTATCTCCTTTAAAAAGGATTTCCATCACCATCACCTTTTTCATAACTAATTCTTCGATTGTCTGGGGTTTGAGTGTGGAAATCAGGGATAAGGATATTAACACACATAGCAGAAAATCTGAATATACAAGAAGTCAGGAATTGTAATTAGTCTATCAAGGAGAACTCTACCTTGATCATGCTGAAAATAAGTACAGTAGCACTTTGCGGCAGTTTAAGAGCTACCTTAAAATTAATCATAAATAACAACCCAGATACTTCACAGGAAACATTTTTTAGAAGTATAGTCATTTGTGTACCAAAATTGAGTGCTGCTTAGCAAACATACTGGTCCAAGCACAAAAATCTTATCTCTTCACGCTTTAATCATGCTACTTGCACAGAAAAGAAAAGGATTATGACTGCAGAGTCAAAACTTAATCTGGCAATGTCATATATTGGGGAGTCCCTGCAGCTTTAATGTATTTCCAGCCACAGTGTTTAAATATAGTACTGTGGTCCTGGTTTCAACTACAAGACCATAGCTTATTTTTCTGCATTGACAGCTCTCAGGTCTGAGATTCTTGACCATGAATCTGGACAGTGGTGTGAAGATGAACTGTCTGTAGGATTCCTGCTTCATTTTCTGCATTTGTTGAGCGAGGAGGCACAAATAACTACAGTAAGCAAAGGAAACTTTCAGCATGAATACAAAATAATGATGCTACAGAACACTGTACTTCCTACTTCTGACAGAGAATTCCTATGCAATGCTGGTAAAACTACGTAAATCCATTTTTTTAAACAGGTGGGCAATGATCTATGCTTCCCTTCTTTGGCTCTAAACTCTTGTTTTCTTTTCGAATCATTGCTAGTCACTGTTTCCTGTCCTTACACCCAACCATAAATTATACCTTTGCAGGTTCTTTGTCCCAATTTCTTCTTCCAACTTATCCAAGACATTAAACATCTCCCCTTACCCCACTGAATAATGTAGCTTTCTTCTTCATTCCTTCTGGGTGCCAATTAGAAAGGAGTTGAGAGAGCAGTCACAGAACACAGGAAAATGAAGATCTCCGCTCTTAACACAGGTGACTTACTACACTCCAATCTGAAACAGCAGTCATGGGGAAACTCCCAATATTTTCTCCTCTAGAGCTGGGGACAGCTTATGTACAAAATAGTACACATATGCTGCAGCTCTTAATGGTTATGTCACACACACAGACCAATTAGGACAAGCAACTGTCCATTCAAAGTCTTTAAAGACTATCTTAAGTATTAACAAACCCATAGAATTTTCAACACATCATTAGCATTTCAGAGGCTCTTATTTTGGTCATATTTAGGTGGCTTTTTATAGATGAAAGAAGAGAACCGTCTGAAAAGAATCTAGCATCCTGAAAAGCGCCAAGTTTGTGTGGCAGGCACAAGAAGCATTACAGCCATCCACAAAAGGTTGCTATGAAGTTAACACTATGGAAGCAATGCTTTCTCTCCAGCTTTGTTTCATAAATGGCCAAACTATTCCGTTGAGGTGGGAAGAAGGGAGAATGACCCAACAGCACACAATCTGTATAGAGTGTTTCATTCCAAACAGTTACATGTTGCAAAAGCAGTAAAGTTCAGTAAGGGTCAAGTATTACCAGTATTTCCTACTAGAAACTTCATATCCAAAAGTTATTTGCTTTAGCTATAACATTGCTATGTTGTATCAGCAGGTGATTGCTTTTGTTTGTTGTATTTTCCTTAAAAAGAGTGAAATAAAAATTCTACAGAGAGCTTACATCAGCAGACCACAAAAATAAAACTCTTAATACAGCAAAATTTTAACTTCAAAGTAAATTTTTAAAAGATTTCAACATTTCATTCATGAAGAACACAGCTGTAGGCAGGTAATATCCAGAAAATAGTCATCCACGTAGGTTCATCCACAAAAGAAAATTCAGTTCTTAAGAGTTACAATTTTCCACACTCATACAATTAAAAAAAAAAGATTCCACTCAAAGGCAAGTTGCATTACCAAAGCATAGATTACCATGTAACTGCCACCACAGTGAAATTTGTCTGTAGTGTGTATTCCTTTTTCGGATATGATCTTGAAAAGTGATTTATCATGTACCAAGTTTATATGCAAAGTAACAAGTGGGCAGCCAGAGAAGAAAAGACATTTTGAGAAAAAGAGACATTTCCTCACTCAGATGCTCTAATGTTTCAACACTTCCACACATCAGAGCTGCCCATTTAATTGCTTAGTTAAGAAATTTTTCATTACCTTAAAAGACAAAGTTTCAGTCATTTGTAAGCACTTAATCACTCATCCATCAAAATCTTACATGACATTCAACACTGTTTCTAGGCCTCAGATAACAATTCCTCCATAGGTGACCTATATCAAAAAGCCAAATGCTAAAAAAATCTCCAGGACCACTGCAAAGAAACTGGTATCTGGCCTATACTCACTAGATTTCATGGCATTCGGGGCGTTGGAAGGTGCATTCCCCCAGCCTGTTGTCGATGCTCCTGTATCATCTACTTCACCCCACCCGGGACTGGTTTCATTTGGCTCACCCCAGGCGGACGTACCATTATCTGGAGCAGGTGGAGTGCTTTTGCTCCAGACTGCACAAAGGAGAAAGAGTTTTCATTACAGACCATTTAGACAATGAATTAATACTGCAGTGCAGCATCACGTTGTTAATCTACTGCTTCATTCTTTCTGTTGAGGACTTTAGATTCTCAACAGCGTGGGTGCAACAGAATTGACAACTGTTCACATCAAACTTAGAGCAGGCACTGACCTCCAGGGATGAAGAAAATGCTACGACAAGTAATATTCTCCCAGGTTAAACATGAACCCCGTATCTAATGCTGTCTATCTGGTAAACTTTTGTGACTATTTAAAAGCACCAGACTCACTGAGGGTTTTCACATACTGAAGAAAGAATAAGCACGTATCTGAAGTACATATTAAAACAAAGTAGTATTCTTTAAAGCACGTTTGAGTCAGAAGAGATTACGTAACAGTAACATCTTAATATATTTAATATATTTCCAGGCCATGTAACTTTTTCTTGTCCTCATTTCAAAGAACAAAATATTTTGCTAAGTATTCTTTATCACACAGAAGAGCCAAACTGCGCTAGAAAACTAAATTACAGACTCACTAAATTTCAAGTGTTAAGTGTTTCAGAGCAAAAAGTTTTTCACTAAGTAAAGAATTTCTCCCTGTTTCTCTAATAATTAAATATACAAAATGTGATTTAGCCTGGAGAAAAGGAGGCTGAAGGGAGACCTTATTGCTCTCTACAACTACCTGAAAGGAGGTTGTAGCCAGGTGGGTGTTGGTCTCTTCTCCCAAGTAACAAGCAATAGGGCAAGAGGAAAACGGCCTCAAGTTGTGCCACAGGAGGTTTAGACTGGATATTAGGAAAAAACTGCTTCACCAAAAGGGTTATTAAGCACTGGAACAGGCTGCCCAGGGAAGCGGTTGAGTCACCATCCCTGGAGGTACTTAAAAGACATGTAGATGTGGTGCTCAGGGACATGGTTTAGCAGTGGACTTGGCAGTGTTCGGTTAACAGCTGGACTCAAAGGATCTTAAAAGTTTTTTTCCAACCCAAATGGTTCTACGATTTTATAATCCAACCTGTTCTTCAGAGCTCAGATTGAATATGCAGATTTGTCAGCTAACAAACATTTTCTTTTACTAGCAAGCTGACCAGTACTCAGATCACAGTTACTGAGGCACAACAAGTAGAAGACTGAGTCAAATTTTAAAGACACTTTAAGTACAGAACCAAATATTCAAATAAGAAATTGGTTTTCTTTATGGAATAAAACTATTAGGAATTGGAGGCCACACGGGTACCTCTTATGCATTAAGGTTACATTCATATATAGAAGCTTGCTGAAGAAAGGAACAAGACTTAATACCTGATGCTTGTGATTTGCTAGTCATTGGAGTAGGGAGGCTCTGCTCCCGTGGGGCCTGTCCTCCTTGTGAGTTCTTGTCCCACAGGTTCACATTCTTGTAGTTATAACTGCTAGGATCTCCCCACGCTGAAGTGCCATCATCAATATCCATTTTTCGACTGATTGACTGTGGAGAAGGTTCTTCCCAGCCACTAGGCTCCTCCTCTTTGGGGGCAGCTGGCTGTGGTCCACTGTTCCAGTTTGGGTTTGGAGGTCGCCCATTACTTGGAGTTTGGGGCGGTGGACCCCAGGAACCAGAAGCCTCCTGCTGTTGCTGCTGGTGCTGGTGCTGCTGCTGCTGCTTGTTCCAGGAGTTGGGCTGTCGACCCGTCTCATTCCATGTTGAAGTTCTTTTACAATCATCCCATCCACCCTTTGAAGCAGCGCTTGTATTTGCACCATTACCCCAAGTTCCAATCTCATTTTGCCCACCTTCACCCCAACCAGACACTGGCTTGTTTCCTGCACTTTCCCAGTTGCTGTTTTTTGTTTGGTCAACTTCCTCTCCCCAACCGTTCTTTCCAGAAGACCATCCTTGATTAGTCTGCCGTCCACCCCACCCCTGATCCTTACTAGAGCTATCATTCCAGGAGGAAGATGATTTTTCTTCTTGTCTTCCTCCTCCCCAATTAGAAGAACTGGGGTTCTTATAGTCATTCCATCCTCCAGTATTTTTGGGGTCCTTCCACTCTGTTGGGGTTGAGAGCTCACCCCATCCAGACTTGATTTGATTGCTTTGGCTGGGTACATCGCCCCAGCCCCCTGAGTTCTTTGTCTGTGTGGCAGAGCTCTCCCACCCCTCAGTTCCTTTATCAGACTTCCCCTCAGGCCGTGGCATCTCTTCGATATCCCACATGGTATCTTGCTTAATTTGAGTTTGGCCCCAGCCAGTGTTTGAAAGCACTCGGGGGTCCAAATCAGTCCTGCTCAGCAAAGTCTGCAAGACTGCCTGGCAGTCAGGATGCGTAGGCCTGTATGATCGGCGTCCAGAATTGTGACTGTCACTACTTCCTGCTTTGTGGTTACTTCCAGTGCTTTGACCTCCAACCTCACTTCCCGCAGAGCTGGAAGATCTTCCCCAACAGGGAGCCTGGGAATTGCCTTGGTTTTCAGGAAGAGGGTGGCCTTTTTGATTGTCCCATGCTCCAGTGCTAGAATTTGGTTGGTTTGGACCACTCCATTCTCCAATCTTCAGTTCATCAGACCCAGACAGCTGTTTCCATTCTCCCTGAGAGACCCCAGATGTTAATTTGTTCCCTTCACCCCATTTGTTTTCATTTGCATGCTGAGGGCCAAAGTTCCAAGACCCACCACCCGTAGACCGGTTATTGTTATCCCAAGAATCACTTCTTGACCCATTAGGTTTTTGAACAGAAGCTCCTTTCCAGGAGTCCTCTCTATCCTTTCCATTGTTCCCATGGTTTCCAGAATTGCTCTGCCCAGAGACTGTGTCAGTTCCAGAAGACCCCCTAGCTGTACCCCAAGATCCAACACTCCCAGTCTTTCTTTCTCCAGTGCTTTGTGAAGGGGTGTCAGTGCTCCTGGAAGGGTTCCCCAAGCCCATTTCAAAGGGCATTCCCTTATTCTCCATAGGGTTTGGTGAACTTAAGTTCAAGGAGTTAGTGTTTCCATTTTTTGGTCCATCAGTGTTATGAATTTGAGCCTGTTCTCTGCCAGAGACAAAGTTAACACCCGCATTTTCCATCTTTGACTGCTGTTCCCTAGAGGTCTGACCTACTGTGCTAATCTGTGCATTGGAGCTACCACTATCAGATTCCAAAGTCCCTTTCCTAGAATTGCCCTCTTGAACCAGTGCTGGCCAAGCAGATGGGTTGCTATTTGGGTTAAAGTTGCTGAAGCCAGAACCAGGACCGATTCTATCTTGTCCACTCAAGTTCCTCCAGTTACCTAGTCCATTGTTACTCTCGGCAGCAGGGTTGGAAGATTGAACAGATTTAGCCTTGGGATCAGATTTCCAGGCCCCAAGATTACATTCGTTTCCAGCGCTTCCAGACTGGCACTGGCTTCCTTTTCCTTTGTTACTAGTGGTGCTTCCTGGCAGAGTGTTCTTCTCCAAGCCAGGGTTCGAGGCACTGTTGTTATCGGTGGTGTTTTCGGAAGAAGACTCAGCATCTTTGCTGGCAATACAAGGCCACTCTTCCATGTCAGACCCGTCTACAATCACCTTGTCCCAGATGTGAGTTGGGTTGGCGTTGGTGCCGCTGTTGGAGGAGGCTCCAGGACCCCAAGTGGAATTTGCATAATTTGAAGCAGCAGCACCTCCAATTGCTGAATCTAAAAAAAAACAAACACCCCACCCAAAAAAGTTATTTATAATCAATAGTATTTACAAGCACTGAACATCACATTTTTGACACCACTGATTACTGTTTTCATTAATAAGAATCCTTCCCTGAATTGTGTAACAAAGTTGCAAGAACATCAGGCTGGAAGACACCATTGAATACCAATACAAAACTTCTTTCAACAAACTCTTGTGGGGATTTGAATTCACCATTGACTCACTACTTCTGCTAACAATCCAACTCTAAATTCAACATAGGAATTATAAGCCAGTTAATGAACCTGCATGGTCATTACTGATACTGGCTGTAGACTTTTCAAATACACCTTTAAAATCATTCTATATATATAACAAATATGTGTATGTGCACACATTCACATGCATGTATGTGTACATGCAGTCAACTGTTGGTCTGCTACTCAGCTGACTCAAAGCAACTACAATTTATTACACATCAAAAGGCAAGGTTGAAGACAAAAAACATCTACTGAATATATAAAGCTGAAAAAGTCTATCCTTAAGCTTCAAATATTTTTCAAATTGATTTTGCAACTAGGAATTTCTTTCATCCCTTTGCAAAAACAAATAAAATTCTTTCCAAAAGTTACTGTAAATGAAGAGTCCAAAGCTACACAAATTACAATTACTATGTAGTAACATGCAAGCTGTATTCAATATGTAATTACCCCACATTTGTGTCACTGCTATATTTACTCTAGAAACCAGTTTGTGGTTTTGCAAGCAGCTAAGCTGATCTCTCTGCCACTGGATGGAGGCTAGTAAGAGGTCTCACTTTTTCTTCTTTCACCAACTCTACCTGCTTCAAGTTCCCCAAGTTTCACCTCTCATTTGTGTCAGTTCTGATGGCAGTTAAGCCCTTTAAGTCAACTGTATTCACTAACTCAACACAAATCCACTTTTTGGTGGATTAGTTTTTTTGCTGGCTTAGCACATTGTACAGGGTAACCTCCACATTCAATGAGCTTTGGAGTCACTATAAGGAAATTAGCAGGATGAACGACAATGAAAGGGGCCTTTCCCTTTCATCTGCAGTGAACTATCATTATGTCCTATTTAGTATGACTTCACATGGGCAAGATATTTGTATATCATTTTAAAGCAGACATAAATTAACACAGTGCCACAATGAATGAAGCCTATGTCAATGATGGCAGCATGATGTCTGTATATATGCAGACATGTTATCATCATCAGTTTAAAACGTCAGCCAAGACTCCCTCTTGCCATCCACATAATTACCTCTGATCCTCTAAATAATTAAGTCCATTAGTACTTCCCTGTTTTTCTCTATATAGGGTTCCACTCATTTTTCTATGTATTTTTACTACCAAGGGACCTAAACTGCCCTCACCACAAAATCCCAGTGACGAAGACTAAGCACTATCCCCTTCTACAAAACCATGTACTGAACCCTAAATATATTAGTCTTACTCAGTTATCCCACCCAACCAGTTTACCTTATTTTGCAGAGAGTAAAGGCCATAGTCACATCTGCATCAGTATTCATAACTGAATAGACTGTTACTACAAATACTGGCTCATATGACAGATTCCATAAAAATAAGGCATAATGACCTTAAGAAAGCAGATTCCCCCTCCTGCCCCTAAGTTCCTATGTTATATATTCAAAAGTGGAGACCATCATTTCTGGCTGCTAATACTTTTAATAGAAGATGAACAGATCAGCTTTCAGTGCCTGTCTCAGGGTTCCAGTTCATTAGCTTAACTACTGAACATCCACTCAATGCCCTCCAGATCCCCCTTCATCGAGGACCACCGCTAAAGATCCAGACTTCACAGGAAGGTTAGAACTGTCTTGTAAGCTTTGAATACTGATGAAGGAAAGTTCATCTTTATCTATTAAATCATAGCCACCAAGAGCCAAAAGACCAAGCAGTTCCCATGCACATTCTGTTCCTTCTATTGCCTTTATCTCAAGTGCAAACTTAACAATAGCAAGGAAGTACGACTCTACCAATATTTATATCTGGCTATCCTTTTAGTACACCGAGTAAACCTTTTCCACTCCCCCATCCCCCCCAATTTAAAAACTGACTAGACTGATCATAGGAATAGCTTAAGAAGGACAGCCAAAGACAAGTTCAAAAGACTGCAAGGTTGCTGCCTTTTGAACTTAGCAATGATTCAGCAAATGAATGATGCATAGGCAGCTATGCACTTAGCAAGATCTTTACACAGGTGATTTTAACAGAGCATTTTACATTTCATTTCTGTGAAGACTTCTAAAAGTATTAAGATTGGGTTTCTTGCTAACATAGCATACTAGGATACAATTTAATAGATTATTTTATAAAACCAGCCTCCCCTCGCTATATTTGACAGTGGCAACAAAATTTTGGTGATCTATGGTTTTGTCTTAAGAAAAGGGCTCTTGGTTCTTAAACAGATTCTTCCTTAACAACAAACATGTTGAAGATAAACAAGTTTCTGATCAGACTAAAATGGAAAAGTTACTAGCAAATGACTACTTTTAAGGATGAAAGTATGGAACTGAAGTAACTTAAAGTATTGAAATGGAGTCCTGAAATAAAGACACAGTTTTGCTGTGAGAAATGGTGGTGATTCTTAGAGGGTACTGTAACTACTGAAAGGCTTTAACCAATAAAGTTTAAGCTTTGTTTTCCAAAATTGTCTTGCACATCCTAAACATCATTGGTACTGGAAGAATTACATATACCAACCTACACCCTAACCCCCCCATATTGCTACAAGACAATAGTAGATTTGGTACCATCTTTCAGGGAACTACAGTTTTGCCATCTTACAGAATGTATTGGGTTTGCATAGCAAGGTTTCAGCAGTGGGGGGGACACGACACTACAGGGATGGCTTCTGCAAGAAGGTTATACAAGAAATCCCTACGTCTCAGAGTCAATGCCAGTCAGCTCCAAGACAAACCCACCACTGGTCAAGGGCGAGCTCATCAGTGACAGCAGTAGTACCTCTGTGACAACATATTTAAAATAAAAAAAACCCCAACCTAGTGGCAGCTTTTGCAGCCAGAGAGAGAGAAGTGAGAAACTTTGCGGACACTCAGGTCAGTGAAGAAGGAGGGGGAGGAGGTGCTCCAGGCAATGGAGCAGAGATTTCCCTGCAGCCTGTGGTGAAGACCTTGGTGAAGTAGGCTGTCCCTCTGCAACCCATGGAGGATGATGGAGACCAGAGATTCCACCTGCAGCCCATGGAAGACCCCATGCTGGAGCAGGTGGAGACACCTGAAAGAGGCTGTGACCCCATGGGAAGCCATGGGGCTTCCTGGAGCATGGGCCATGCTAGAGCAAGCTCCTGACACAGGACCTGTGGACCCGTGGAGAGAGGAGCCCACACTGGAGTAGGTTTGCTGGCAGGACTTGTGACCCCATGGGGGACCCACGTTGAAGCAGTCTGGTCCTGAAGATCTGCACCCTGTGGAAGAGACCCACATTGGAGCAGTTTGTGAAGAATTGTAGCCTGTGGGAAGGACTCATATTGGAGAAGATGGTGGAGGACTGTCTCTCCCATGAGAGGGACCCCATGCTGGAGCAGGGGAAGAGTAGAAGTTCTCCCTCTGAAGAGAAAGGAGTGGCAGAAACAACATGTGATGAACTGACCACAACCCCCATTCCCCATCCCCTTGTGCAACTGGGGGGGAGTAGGAGAAATCAGGAGTAAAGTTTAGCCTGGGAAGAAGGGAGTGGTGGGGAGAGGTCTTTTAAGATTTGGTTTTACTTCTCATTGCTCTGTTTTCTTGATAATAAAATAGATGATTTTTTTCTAAGTTTAGTCTGTTTTGCCCATGACAGTAATTGGTGAACAATCTCTCCCTGTCCTTATCTCAACCCATGAGCTTTTCGTTGTATTTTGTCTCCCCTGTCCAGATGACAAGGGCAGTGATAGAGCATCTTTAGTGGGCACTGGGCCTCCAACCAGGGTCAACCCACCACACAGAAGCATTTCAATTCTGGTGGAAAAATATCCACGTAAAGACAGATTATGTACTGACTTCTTGTATTAAAGCCTCACCAACACCATCTATAGCTACCTAGCAAATATAACAATGTGAAGGAGTAGGTAAACTACATTATTTTCCCCTTTGGAAACCTGCTTTTGCTTTCACATGGGATGAATTAATCACAGCATCAGTGTGTAAATGCCTGACAGAATTGGGCCCAATCTGAAATCCAGTTTGTAAATAGCCAGGATCTCAGATGGGATTAATGATGTGCAAGACAGACAGCAACCACCATACCTTCCATAAACACTTTGAAGGAGCACCCTAAGTGACAGCCCCAGCCTTTCTCTTGTCCAGCTGCTCATTCCCACTCCTCTGGCACACCCTACTCTCACGTGCTAGCACTTATGTTCCCACTGATATTCAGTGAGCTGAACTGGTAAATCACCCAGACTGAATTGAGCTTTAAAAAACAACCTGGGTTAATTTTAATTCGAGTCAGCTCCCAGCTTAGTTAACTGGGTTATGGTGCAGAAATTTGGACAACGTGACGCAGGTCTGAAGGACCCATATCTTTCTTGGCAACACTCCTGACTTACATCATGATAAAGCAACTAACCATTGGCATAAAAAGTTGCCACAATCAATAAAACACAACCATATAACATCTCAGTTGATATCGCACCATTAAACTAAATGTAAAAATATGAGAATTCATAAAATCAAATTTCAATCTCAGAAAAACAACTTACTAGGTGTCAAATTATTAGGTGGCCTCTACAATACTTCAAAATGGTCCTCATCCAACAGCAAAAAAAATGCTGTTCATGAGAAATTTTGACAACTTTCAGAATGCTTCACTACCATAAAACCTCCTTTGTCAGTCTACTACAATCACTATGAAGGTATACCAATGTTGACATAATGCTAGGATTTTATATATAGTCGAAAGACTTGGGGTGGAGTTTTTTCCCCCTCTTCATCTTTCAGGTACTTTATCAAAATCAGTCATCTCTAAGAGATCTTGCTTAAAACTGATTAGCTCAAACTTTGCCATTGTAGTTTGAAATTCATGCCCTCTATCTCCCCCCCGCCTCTATCTCCCTATTATTAAATAGGGAGCACCAAAGACAACAAGCTAAATAATCTGTCAAGCTAATCTGACAAAGGCAAACTCAGACCTAGTGGTATTGTTATTTTCTTCTTTTGACTTTCAAGCATTTATTACTTCTTTTTTAAACACCTTTATCGTTAGAACTGAAGTTGTCCTTGACTTCTCCAATCGCCCAAGTTTTTCTTTAGAAGGCAGATGTCTTGAGCGGAAATTTATTTGTTCTATTGTCATAACTTAAGAAGGAATATTACAGTTACTGCAATTCCCCAAGGGTCTAAAATGAATCTTAAAATTAATTTATCTTCTTGAATTCAAAGTGAACACATAAACAAAACCAAGACAGTCACCACTTCTATAAAAAGGCTTATCTAAGGAGAAAACCAAGATTACTACTAAAAAAAGTCAGGCACAAAAGGACCATCTTTCTATTTCACCCAGATGAGGAGTGACAGACACCTGCCATTTGCAGACCTGATATCTACATGTCTGTTTTCCCAGATCATATTAAAAAAAGTGACAAGATAGGAAATTCATGTCAAAGAAACCTAATGAGCTATTAGAACTACAGCCATAAAATGCTGTTTATCCGTGCTTTGTGTTTACCTTGCTGCAGTCTTAAGAACCTTACAGCATCCTATTCAAACCACCCAAAACATATTTTTTAAAAAATTAACCCTTTCTTGTTCCATTTAATAGTGAAAACTGCATCCATTGCTGATAACAGCAAAAGAAAAGTTTATATGCTAAAGTAACGGAAGTAATCTCTCCAAAAGCAATCTGAGGAGTTTTATTATATAGAGATATACTTATGCACAATTTCAGTGATCCCTTTTCTGCCATGCACACACAGATGTTCATTAAATATTATTATTATTATTACTTGCCTGTTGCAGTCCCACTGTCACTCTGCGGCAGTGCTCCTGTCACTGGTTGTGCGTTGTTTGGGTTTGCTCCTGGTGCTGTTGGGGGAGGAGGCCCTGCTCCACCCCCAAGGAGCATACAGGATGGCGGAGGGGGCTGCCCACGTTTCAGTAACACTTTGTGGTCCTGCTGGCAACGGAATCGCGGCGGCACCTCCCGAGGCATGTAGCGGGCGGCGCTTGGCGGTTGTCCGTTCGGCACTGCCACCCTTTTGGCATTGTTGCCACCATTGACTGGTGGCGATGGAGAGTTGCCAATTGGGCTGGCAGCCACTGGTTGGCTTAAACTTGGTTTCGTCACTTCGGGCACTGAAAACCAGGAAGAATGAAAATCAGAATTTTTTTCCACTTAAACCTGTGTTAGCTACAAGAACTCACTCTGACTCTTTCCTTTTATAATTTCATTCTTCTCTGAAATACTGGGCAACTTCAGCCTTATTGAAGAACAATTAAAGAAGCAGGAATAAGCAGTAGCAGCAAACCTCTTGCTTCCATATGCAACTCTGTACCCCAGGATGAAACTCGGTGCTCAGCAAGTATTTTGCTCTAAGCCCCAAATTTCTTGGAAGCGTAAAGCTGGCAAAGAATACCATCCTGGACAACAAGGCATTTTAAAATATGAGCAAATATAACTGTTGCCCCCTCCCCTCTCGCTCTGTTCCCTGATTTTCAACTGATTTTTGGATTGTTATGCATCATCCTTATGGGAAATCTGAAATTAGATCCCAAGTTTTCACCTCATTACTAGGCTACATGGCCACTGCCAAAACAAAAACAAAAAAAAAAAGAGGGGAAAAATCCCCTTTGCTAACAGAGTTAACAAATCTGAGTTCTCTGTACTGCTCTTAAATAAGGCAGTAATAGTTGACCCTCACCCAAAAGGCAGTCCTACATACAGCATTTGTTTTGGGTTTGTCTAAAGTTTCCCAGCTGGTCACCAGGTGCCCCTATAAACAAGGACATGCTGCTTCTGAGGGTTATTATGCATTGGAGAAGAGGAAAAACACAAACAAATCCTTGAGCAACTAACACCATCACAAAATTTGTTTAAGAGACTCTAAACTTGTAACTCCTTACTCACATCCTCCATGTACTTTTTTGAAAGAGAGCAAAAAAATTCCTAGCCAGGCACCTAGAAGGTGTAATTGCTAAGACATCAGACTCTAAAGGCAAGAAAAATTTAATACATCTGTGCTAGGCTTTGTTGAAGATTAATACAAGAAAGGGATGTCCAGAAATCTCTTGCCAGCAAAGTGAACATAATCAGTAAAACTCTTCCTCTTACAAATGTGAGATCAAAACAAGTGAGTCTCTCTTTGGCCACATGAATGCATTATTTCCACATTTTATTTTGATATGGGTTTTCTGATTTCTATATGTAGGCTTCATTGACCAAAACCCTCAAAAAGGTATTGTTAACTGTCCAATCAAGTTACTATCTTAGTTCTCGTCTGTCAATAATGGCAATTTCCCCACACAATTTTTAGTAAACTGACACACAAATCAAGATCAAATAACGTTAAACTTATTTAGCTGATCTAAAAAGATAACTCATCAGTCCTGCCTTACCTGTTGGACTCTTAGGTGCCTGAACTTAAGTTTCCATAAACAAGTCATTTTCATTCATTTTGGTACCTCACCATAAGCAGTACTTTATTTCATTTATACAGGTTGTTTCAGTTTTTGGTTACTTGTCTAAAACCTTTGCAAAACTGAAAGGCTAAATATTTTAGCTGATCTATTTCATCCACAATCCTCATCCCCTCTTCAAGTATTCTGATGCTGACAAACACAGATAGTTTTAGGTTCTCCATTTTAATCACCTCAGCTTTTACTTCTTCTGAACACACATCTTCAGTATTTCATCTCGACCCTTCCTCTTCCAACAGTTTTGATTAAGAGCAGAGTCCTGGCTCAAATTAATAAAATATACTCTTTAGGATCAAAGATTCTTACCTTTGGTTTTTTGATCTGTGACCTGCAAATTAAAAGCAAGAATGTAAATACAGTTTTAAGACTCTCAAAACAAACATTGAACAGACTGTGCTAAATCACAACCTTAATTTATTAGCAACGAGATCAGTATGTGTTGCATGAAAATAATAAGCTGATGAACTACAAGTCTAAGCAGTACTCCTAGTTATACATATGAAGTTTTCAAAAATACTACAGCTCCTATAGCTCCTATAACATAGACTTTGCAAAAGTCCCTGGTAGAAAGAGTGATTACTTCACTCATCATGATTTCTAGCACTCACCCTCCTGCCCCCCATCCCAAATATGGACTTCCAAAGCACAAACATGTGCTATAGCACTACAGTTCTTTCAGATTTTGGAAGTAAAGTATTACAGTTAAAGTGTAACAAAAATGTCCTTCTCTGGGAGTATCCTTACAGCAGACTGTTGGGGCTAGCAATGGAATTCCCACAGGAACCACAGGTGAGAGTCTGTCTCTGCCATCTTCCCGTTTCAACTTTCCCATGACATCTCTTCCAAGGAGAAATCCTAAACCTTACTGGATTCATTGCCACAATTACAAAAAATACCAGCAATACCTATAAAGAACCAGATTTTGAAATCTCTTGAACGCAATAAGCCGATTACTGAAGTGAGCCATCACGATGGCCAACATACTCAATATGTGGTTTTGCTGTACTTCTACATTCTTTCAGCATAGCAGATTTCAAGCTACAGTAGAGACAAACATACCACTGGTATATTCTCCGGAATCACGTGTAATGTAGCATGTTTTGAACCTGTCGATCATGAGTTCCACTACACAATAATGGAAAAATGCTAAAGATCATCATGTGTCAGGTTCTATGACACCTATTCTTCAAAGAAATTGCTGAACTAGTCCATAATTCTGGAAAGCACACAGTGACAGTATAGAATAATAAAAGCACAAGTAAAAAAGCAGTTTATTGTTTAAACCAACCAAGTCAGAACTCTTTTGTATGGTAAAGAACTCCTTTGTATGGTAAATAAAAAGACAAACTGCACTGAATTGCTATGCCATCATTTACTTTGCATATTGCAGTGTTCTTCTTTGCAAAGCGGAACATACACTATAATACAAAATCTTAAGCATTGTAACTTCACAGAATTATGTAATCCAAAAGTCTCCAAGACACTAAAAATGCACCTGTACCAAAACTGTGTCTGTACCAAGCCAGATAGCAATTTTCACTTCACTTATTAAAAAATCCCGTATGTGTCATATTACATCATCTTCTGTAATACAGTTAAAAATTCTGTTAAATACTTAAGTGACTGTGATGCTCTGCTACTACAGTAGAAGGAAGAGGTGGGAAAAATTATTCATGAATCCAATCCGGTAATGTTGACAGGTTTACTATGGTCAACAGTAAACATGAGTAACTTGTTTACTTGGAAGAACCTCATTTTACCAAATCTTTAAAGAATTCTACATGATAACTACAGTTTGCTTTAGGGGAAAAAAAAAAAAAAATAATTCTGCCTGTACTGCATCTTTCTCCTAGCCGAAATTATCTGTGT